ATTATCTATGGTTTTCAGAATGAAAAGAATGTGTTTCTTTGTCTGAGAAAGATTAATAAACAAAATATTATGGAATTTGCATGCATACAGCAGGATGCTAACCCATATGAATAGTGTAATTTCACAGATTCAAAAACATTCACTTATGAACTGTATTCACAGCAAAAAGGATGAAAATATATGTAAAATGTATCTTGAGTTAAGATCGGATAGTATAAACTTTATTGATCTCACAATAGATACGTTTACATATCACATTTGGCATAGATAAGATATATTATGTAAAATCAAATTAAAAGTGACTATTGTTAGTCCGAGTTTTTCAGAGACATGCAAATTGGAATGAGAAATAATTGTTACCACCCTTAATAAGAAAGTTTTGCTTGTCTCATTTGCAAGACCCAATCGAGTTTTGAAACTACATTACTGCCATGTATTTGATTCATTTTTGCAGAGCAGTGAAACGTCATATAAAAGAGCTGCTATTACTGGATCACAATCCCCTGACAAATTCAGTAGAGGAATTCAATCAGAAATCTGGCCATCTCCAACACTGTCACTGCTAATAAAAATACGTTTTGTCACAGCTCATAGAATTCGGCAAAAGATTTTCCCCTCCCTGATGACCTAAACTGGTAAAGGTGTTATTTAAAATATTGCAAAAATAAAATTGCACTTTCAAATGGACAACTGGGAGTCTCCTCATATTGTCCCACTCCTGCAAAGGCACCGCAAAACTTTCCTAATAATTCCCTTGACAGTGTTGCAACCGCTAAATCCAAATGTCTCAATAAGCCATTGGCCTGCCCCACTGTCTGCATATGAAACATCCGAATGGGCAATAATGACCTTAACATGTGGGGCTGAGACTCGTGGAGGGATTCCCCGTTAGCACAGTTCAACATGTGACAATCCAAGTCCCTGAGATCAAACCAGGAAACTTTTCTGTTCTGCCTCTTGTCCTTTCGGGCAGATATAGGGCTGGATTAAATCGATCAAACAGAAAATACTACTCATTATGTATTGAGTGTCCTTCTGATATATTCCAATGATAGTCTAGAGCATAATTCAACAGAAATGTCTTCACATTAAGGTAGAAAAAAGTAAAAGAAAGCCTTGTAATGTGAATACCTCAGACCCCAAGATACTGTTTCCTTCATGTTATCTTTTGCACCTAGTAAGAAAGAACTACTTTGGGCTGAGAGCTGATTGGCTGAGTGAGAGGGTTCTTACTTTTCCGTCAGAGAAAGCTGATCTAAAGATGTGACAGAGGCCAAACATACATGCGTGTGAATTTTTTTTTTGTGGTTTGAAAGTTAGGTACCCCAGCTTTAATCTAGTTTATAAACCAATTTCAGCTATGCTCTCTTTAGTTGACATGTTATTATAATATATTGTTCAGATATTTCCTGGTCTAATACCTGGAGCATAAAATATAGCCGCAAAATCATATTTAAGACAGTTTTAATGCAATTTTGGGAACATTTAATGCCACAGGCGTGGGTAAATAAATACAAATGCTAAAAGTTCTGTCTATTTCAATAAAAGTTTATAAAAAGTTTTAGAGAAACCACAGCACAGGCAATGAGTAACTCAATATTGAATGGCACAATCTCATAACATTACGTCCAGGGTGACAGGTCAGGTCACTCTCGTAAAAGAGATATTAAACCTGGTAAAAGAAAAGGTCTAATAAAAAATAATGAAAACATAGTATTTTTATTTTTACTGAAATAAAGTGAAACAATTAACGACAGGTTAATTTGACAACAACAAATATGTGTTTGAAACATTGTTTTCAATAATGAGTAAATGAATTGTAATAATTTTGCCCATGAATGAGAAGCCCTTCTCTTTACTCATTTTTGAAAATCAATCTTCAAACCAAGATTTACGATATGTCTCTACCTTCACGTCTTCCATTCTCACGCTGGATGAACAAACTTGGTCACAAACTGTCTCCAGCCTGTCAGCCCCATCAGTTCCCCACCTCTCTCATCCTTTCTTCTCTCGGGACCCTCCCACCCGCTGATTCTGACGCCTTCGCGGAGCCTCTTGAAGAGTCCCAGTAATAAAGTGTGGAGCCTGGGCTGTTCATAGTTGTCTCGCTCTCCCCACCCAGGCCTATCCCTAGAATACAGTCCATGATAACCCCATGTTCCCTCTCCTTTCTGCTGTTCTGGTCTTTTGTGTACAGTGTGCTATGTTCACTGTAGCAGCAGCGTGCCAGAAAAAGCCACACAAACATCCACGCGCACAGTCACAGACACACAGCTGGGCCCCAGCTGCACACAAAGACTGGGGTTTGGAAATCAATGAAGGAGAAAGACGAAAGGGGGAAAGAGTTTAAATACATTGGCACTTGAAAAAAGAAGAACATGTAGAAAGAGAGAAATAGTGAACGCGTTTCACAAAAGCGGTTGATCACCAAAAACATAATGTGACTGCATGTTTATGAATACGCCTGTGAAACGCAACGGGCCTGAATCCAACGCCACGGGCCTGAATCCAACGCCACGGCCCGAAGGCGCAGTGTCGTTCTGCTTCAGGTGCCAACAGTTTGGAAGAAACAGCAAACACAAAAAGAACACATCAAATAAATGACAAATGTGATTAAACTCGGCATCTAAACGCAGTTTCCGTCCGCTGAAGGCGCACCTGGTGGCAATATGTTCCTTTAAAGCTTGGGTTGGCAAATTCTGCATTAGGCAGGAAATATTGAAAACCAAAATAACCAACATAAATATAGCATTACCGGACGACTTTCCGAGTTTAATAGGCGTTTCGTGTTTGACCGCATGACCTGGCATTCACATAAGTTAGTGGCTCCTAAAGTCATGACAGTGAGTGACCACAAGATTCAGCAGGAAGTGTCAATCAAGGGTAGATATTTTGAAGTTTGGTCTAATCACCCGACTGCACCTGTTAGATAAGGTGGAGAATTGAAAACTGCTACTTTTGGGAGTTGAAGTCCAGTGCCTATAGTTCAAAAGATAAAACAAAAACTGTTGCACATTACAACAATTAGTATATTATTACTTTTTGTTCTATTTAATCCCTGCTGCTGTTAGCATTTATGTGCATGTTTGCAGACTTGTAGCTAAGCATAAATAAAACCTGTTTTCATTAATTGTTGTAATGCAGCTATTAACGAAGCATTCACAGCCACTTATCTCTGTATATTTTGTGTGCCCCTTGTGTGCTCTTACTGTCCTGCACCGAAATATCCCCACTGTGGGACAAATAAATGTTATCTATCTTAATTCTATTCACAATATTCAGGCTTTATTCATTTATATAGATCCGAAATCCATCAGCACATGCAGGAAATCCCACAGACTTAAAAAGCAGCCAGCCTTACAACCAAATGTAAACTTGTAAAATTGTTTTGTGCCATTGTGCAAAGAGATTAAGCTGCTGACTTGATAACACAATTTGAACTGTGACTGCGTGATTCAAGTACATGTGAAAGATTTGGGCACAAAAAGAACTACACAAAGCTAATCTCTCCTAGAGCTCTGGGCCTTGTCATGCCGTTGGGCTGATAAGTGGCACGGCCCTGTCAGTAAGGGTGCATTTGGGCTGATAGCTTTCACACCGGCGCGACACCGTTGATTTGTGAAATAGGTTGCTGCCGCTCGACAAACTGTGACAGTGACAAGGTGAGAGAAGATCTAACCCTGGTGACACTTCTTCGAGCCTCCGCACCTCGCTTAGAGAAATGAGGAACGACGACTCGAGGCCACGCGAAAGTCCGAGAGCTTTAGCTGTGAATAGTTTAGTGGCAGTTGCTTGGCAGATGACAAGTAAACAGGCCAAGAGCTGTGTGGTTTTTTTTTTTTTTTTTTGAAAGGCTTCTGGAAATGAAAGCCAGGGTTAGTGGATTTGTGTTTGCCTCGCTCCTCCAGACAAAATATCCTCTAAGTCAATATGAGCAAACCTATTCACCGCTTCAACAATTGCTTTCAAATGCAAACCCGGCTCGCACATGATCAGCATTATCCCTAAAGCTCTTTGTTTCACAGATAGGAGCGTTTTAATTTGGGGATTTGCTGAGATACGCAAATGGTTACAATGTTAAATCAGTAGTTGTAAAAAAGCGACGGTGGCTAATTGAAGGCTTGCAGCATCTGAGTTTAACATCAGTGGTACAGCAGGATAAATGTTTGGAAGCAGCTCTTTGGGCATAGAGCGTGTCATTACTGAAGTTTGTGTCCGCAAAAAAGGCAGCTTTACATCTTTACCTGTCGCACTACACACTCTTTAAGGCCAGTGCAAGTTCCTCTCAGGGCTGTTTTTAGGAAGTTCCTCGACATCTACTGATATGTTTCACTGGCGTTGTGTTGCATGTGTGAAATTGTAACGTGCTCAGTTCATTTGAGCCGGAGAGTTCACAGCAGGACACAGCAGTAACACACTAATTTACAGCTCCTAAACTTTTATGGACAGAATATTACACTTGCATCAAATTGAGTGAAGTTACAACAGGGCAAAAGTTTTTCAAAGGCAATTACTTTCCAATCGTGTTGTTTATGCCACTCTGATGATGACACAAAGAAGTATAAAAAATGACTAATATTTCAGTGTGGGTAATTGCTGCTTAAAATAAAATACAACCGTGCACTGTGTGATAAGTCTGCCACATTAATTCTATCTAAACACAACTTTTTAAGCCGGAAATAAAGGTGACATTTAATGCTTTACAAGTCATGGGATTTCACAAATGAACTGGCACCTTTGTGTGACTTTACTGCCGTGGTCTGCGTCATGTAGAGCCCACATGAGCAAAGATAACGGTCCTTAGCTGCAAGGCATTTGAAACCACTATCGCAAAAGGAATAAAGTTTATAAAATCATGGTCAGATCGCACTACACATCCCATCCTACTACTCTCGTATTTCGCGTTTTCTAAAATTGTAACCTGCTTTCCTTGGATGATGTCTAAACAAACTTGTCCTGACTTTGTTCGCTTGCGGCGCGCGTCCCATTGCGTGTCCTACCTCGGTTTCTCCTGGGGTTGGCTTGCTTCCTCCGCTTGCCTCTGCTTTCCTCTGTCATGTTTCTTCTCTGGCTCAGCTCCTTCTTAAAAAGCGCGAGTGCGGCTGTGTCCTGAGTGCGCGTCGGAGAATGAATGGCGTGGACACATCTCCGCGGGACACTGTGCGTAATGGAGCTGGTGTAGTAGAGGTGGTGGTGGTGGTGGAGGGACCCCGGGCGACCAGCAGCGAGCAGCCGTGATGTCAGCAGAGGAGGCTGGACCCGGGTGACTCCTGCACCTTATCACACGGACATGTCGTGCCTCGAGTCACACCTACGGAACAAAAGCGCGCAGTGAAACAGTTATTTATGACAAACATGCGCGCTCTCATGTGAAGTGGCCTCCCGTTTGTTTAACGACAGACGCACGGGATTGGCGTAAAAACGAGAAATATATACTTAAAAAAGTTTGGTTTGAAAGCTGTTTTTGAAAGTTTATCTCATAAAACGTGAATAGCGGATGGATTGTGCGTAAAAGTAGGCCTACTCAGAGTAGTGACGTCCAAACCAGTGTAGAGATTCTATACTGCATATAACTTTTCCTATAACCAGTAGAATCCCTATCTTTTTAAAGCTTTTCTGAATGACTCCGCTTGAAACATTACAATGTAGGCCCACCTCAGCGTTAAATAAAACGCATTTAGGTAAATATGTTAAATAACAGCTTCAAAAGCTGATTAAGATTAAGAGATCCTTTCGTCGTTCCACAGAAGGAAAATTCTAGTGTTGCTTCACAAGTATAGAACAGTATAGGAATGAGGAGCAGAAAACACAAGATAACTATACATAAAACAAATACATTAACTATATTCAGCATATGAATATATATAACATACTGTATCCTCTGGTGCAAAAAAATATGTATATGTATGTTCTATAAATAAATCTGCAATACACTCTGGTGTCATTAACTCTGTGGGGAAAAACACAATGATGATACATACATGTTATAGCAACATGAGGCTAAAAGTAAAATGTCAGCGGACACATGTGGTCCCATGTCTAAGATTATCGACATGTGAGGTCAGGTCAGCAGTATTCATCAGTCTTCTTAGCTTAGGCTAGCGACATATTATGTTCAATCCATTATGGCTTTAAAACGGTAATACTTAGTGAATCTTTAATGCTGGGGAAATCCAACAAATCTTGTTGGTCTTATCACTCATTTAACATCCATGTACTTTTGGCCTCTGTACGTCTCAGCTCTTTCAGGCAGAAACGTAAAAAAAAAAAGCCCCCCCTCCCCCCTTCAGCCAATCAGCACTCAGCACGAGCGCAAAATATTGACTCACAGGGCTCTTTCTTATGCAAAGTGTGTTCAATAAGACAGCATGTTGTGGTCTGATTTGTTTCACTTTTAAAAGAGTCTTTCTATCGTGACAAACAAACTGGGTTAATTTTCAATGATACAAGTTACATGCTTCAGCTTTGAGTCAACGAATTACGAATATTAAGACAGAAAAGCCGTATTTCTTTAGGCTTACCCTTTTCTTGTCGATTGTCCCCTGATTGCCCCACGTGACCTGGCTAATAGCTAAAGTTGCTAGCATAAACTGCTGATAAATTTGGCCCCACGCCACGGCTAACTTAATCCTCGGATAATTAATCGTGCATTGTGTGTATTCATGTCTGTTATACCATCTGTGGTAGTATTGTATTACTGTATGTACTGTATAGTTATGTGTTTTTGATACTTTGTGTGGGAGGTTGTAATCAAATACTGTGTATGATATATATGTGTCGTGGAGGTTCCAAATAAACACTGTAAATGAATTAAGCCTCTTGGAGTTTTAGTACTGACAAATTATCCGCTCTTAACAGCAGCTTGTACACTTCTGAGCTATTGTGTCCAAGTGTTACCTCCTCAGCTCCAGTGGGAGATGTTAAAAAAGGCGATAATTGCCCTGTAAACTCGCGATGAGAGCATGTCCAGGTTAACGGCATCAGGTAGACCCCCGTCCTCCTCCTCTCCCTCCTCCTCTCCCTCACCCTCACCCCAATGCCCGCCTGGCCCGCGCAGGGTTTATGGCCCATGTGTTATGCGCGTCCACCTGCACCTCAGCCCCCCGTGAGAGAGGAACCCGTGGAGCTCCCCATTCACCGCTGGATGGCTGTAGGAAGTGGTGCATTCACGGGCCCATTGTGTTGCAACCTGGACCGTAATCTGTTTTGCAACTGAAAAAAACATCCGAAATAAAACTCTAACTCAGCGTTCAGGACCCCCACCTTGGCCTTTTTCACCTCCAACCTATAGAGGGATAATAAAAGCGAGCGGGGATGCGTTTGCTCATGTGGAGTGGCCCGCCAGGACGAGTGCACTACAGTGGAGGAGATTATTGAAGTGAATGAGAGATTACCTGAGTGGAAACAGAATAGACCGCGAGTATTCAGTGAAACTTTCCACCTAAATCCGCATGAACAAGACCAAAGCACAGATTAACCCCATAAGGTTATTACAGAATGTGAAAGTAGCCATATGCCCATGAGGCAAACAGCAGCTGAGCTTACACAAGGCAGTCACCTGGGGCTGGGGCATTAACATTTTAGTACATGACTAACTACTGTTAATTTTGACATTTGCATATGAAAACATCAAGCATCTCCCACTTTGCATATACTTGTTGTGTATTTTTTTTTTGACCCAGCCAATAGGTACAAAAAAAATATCATAAAAAGTGAGACCATTTTATGAGCAGTCATCTGCACTGGATAGACAAGGCAGATGACTTTACACATTTTGTAATTACAGGCAAGGTATGTTCATTTGTATAGCACCATTTACACACAAGGCCACTCAAAGGACTTAAAGGTACACTGTATAGTTTTTACTCCCATCTAGCGTTGAGATCGTAATTTACGGTACTGCGGTACGGTAGCTTCGCAGGGCAATGTATCGTCTTTGACAGTGGTCCCCAACTCCCGGTCAAACTCATCAGCCACTGTATTTCAAGATGGCGCATTGACATAGAGTGTCCTCCAGCTCTCATTTACATGTATAAGTCAATTTCTTTGTCTATGAAAAGAATTCAAAAGCATGGTGGAGGTAAATATTGTCATTGGTTGGTCAAATGTTTTTTCATTTGGAGCAACTGTAAAAATACCTTTAAAACAAGATAGAAACAATCACACGAGGCATCAGAAATAATCACGATGCATTAAAAAGATAATATCCTTCTGTTTTAAGCACATCTCAATATAACTGTTTTCAACCTGGATTCGAACATTGTCAGAGTAGAAACCTGTCTGAAAGATCTCAGCTCCTGTGGACTCACCACCTGCAGGAAGATCAGTGAGGGGCTGGTGCTCTGTGACTGGGTGCAGCTCTGACTGCCACCCCCCCAACCCAGAAATGGATTAAGGGGAAGAAAATGGATGGATGGATGGATGGAAACCTGTCTCACATTTTAGTTGAGATTTCAGCTGCGTAAATCTGAAAGTCTGCCTCCCAATGTTTGGTCCTGACTCTGGGCACCAGTCCCTGTGCTCCTTCAGAACCCGAGTTAGTTCATATATGGCACTAACATGTCTCGGATAGTTTGGTGTGAGGCCAGGGAGAGACCTGTAAGTATGGAGCTGCTTAAAAGTCTATTATACTGTTTGTCAAATACCAAAATCTGTCTAAAATCAATTGTTACTGTATTCAGAGTAAAGCCAGGGTATGTGACTTTCCAACCACAAAAAATGCCGAATTATGTAATTATCAATCAATCAAAGTTTATCAGCACAATTCGAGGACATTGAAATTGCAATCCCTCAAACGAGTTCCTTCCTCTCAAAACACGTTCGTTCTGTTGTCACATCTATAGATCAGCTTTTTCAGACCGAAGATGGAAAAACAGAGAACCACCCTCACTCAGTCAGCTCTCAGCCCAAAGTGTCATTTAGTGAAGCACAGGGCTCTTAAAAATATTGTCTGATTTGGACAAACAAACAGATACAAGAAAAAATACTCCAGCCCTGAGTCAGCTGTTTCATTTTACCACAAAGAAACAAGAACAGTAACTCGCTTCACTTCTGCTCTTTTCTTCCATTGTTAAAACGTTTCTCTCTCTTGTATTGTTCTTGTTTATTCATACCGAGACAGGAAATGTTGAGCATTGTGCCAGTTTTTGTTCTAGTCCAGTAAATATTAACCCACGTCAGCCAACACATCTCAATACGTCAACAAAGACATTTCCACCACCACCTTTCAGATGTAAACTCTGGGACAGTCTTCCTCTAAATGTGAGACAGGCCTCTCTACTCTGGCCATGTTTATATTCTGGTTCAAACAGCATGTCATGTAATGTAGGTTGAATTACACATGCTGATAATTGATATTGAGAAAAGCTGAGATTGCATTTTTATATCTATTGATTACAGGCAAAACCCGATGTGGTGGGTACGGCTCACAAGCTTTTCTTGGACAGCTTGGAAAATATATGTATCAGCAACACTTTAAAAGAGTCATCTAAGTTACACTTTATTTTTCCTTTGGGGTAATTTGTCCGCCGCATTTGACCTGTCCTCCAATACCTGTACGGCCTCTGTCAGGAGCAGTGGTCCCCGTACAGTGCCCGGGGGACCACCTCCAGATGGTGAGGACCAGAGTTGGAGGATTTGACCTATTGCACATGTTCTTCGCAGTATAGGGAAAATTGGAGCACCTGGAAGAAACCTTCGGAGATACAGGGAGAACATGCAAACTCCAGTAGAAAGACCCTGGTCCAACGAGAATTAGAACCAAGAACCTTCTTCCTGAGAAGTGAGCGTGCCCAAAGATGTTTAGAAATACATCTTTCCCCACAATTGATTTAAGAAAGTAATTCTAAAAAAGTATTTGCATTTTTTTCGTACTTAGATTAAGTTAGGGTTAGGGTTAACATCTAAATCCACAAAAAAACTAATTATAAAATGTTAAGCTCGATTCCAGAGTCTGTTGGAACTGTTATGTTCATAATTTCAACTTGGTATTACCATTCCTTGTGTATAAAAAACAATCTTTGAAAACATACAGTATTTTGAATGATGTATACAATTATTTAATTTGAACTACACTTGCATTACTCAGTTTTCCACAATAGAATTCAGTTGTTGTTGCATCCAATGAACACCACCTCCATCTTAAAGCTCACAGGACATGACTCTGGGGGGACAGGGCTTTCTCTGTGGCTGGACCAAAGCTACACCCCCTTTCTCCCACGTCAATACAAGTCCCTCGTTGGAGAGTTTTAAATCTTGTCTGAAGACCCACAAATACCCTCTGGATTTTTACCTCTGTGTGAATGTGTTTTATTCTATTATATTTGTTTTTTCATTGATTTCTCTGCTCTTATTTTATTGCACCGGTTTTATCGCCTGCCTTCTCCCATGTAGCACTTTGGAAACTCTTTCATGCCTACGAAACGTGCCATATAAATAAACTGGATTTGGATAGAACTTGCCGAGAGTAGAGGGAACCAAATGATATTCATATACATAACACATAGATCATTTCTGCGGAGCCTTATATGAGCAAACTGTGAGGAACAACACACTCCCCCTCACCCTGTCCATCTCTGCCTGGGCACTGACAGCTTTGTGCCTTTAATAGATGGTGGAAGAGAAAGCATCCTGAGCTGAAGGTGGGGTGGGGGGCTGGCTCAGGGGGACAGAGGGGTCATCCTGGGCCTTTGTGGTGGGCAGAGGAGAACGGAGCAGGCCAGGGGAGGGGGCCGTAAACTCAGCTGCCGATGGAGGTCACCAAGGTGCAGAGGTGCAGCAGAGGTCCTGGGAGCTACGGGCCCAGCATTATACCCATTATACCTTCAATCACTGCAAATCAAATGTGCCCTGCCTCGCGCTTTGGCCACTCATCAAAAGTGCTTTTATAAAATCACATGGACAACTGTGTGGAGGTTTTTGAAATTGTTATTACTCCACCTGCTTAACTCCTTAATGTTTACTCCTTGAAAAAAGCAATATGTTTTTTTCTTTTTTGTTTCTTCACTAAGATATAGGACATTAATAACACAAATAAGTTTTTTTGAACCGCTGTTTTTTCTGAGATGCCCCAAAGATAGTAGTAGATATAGTGATTCAAAAGGTGATCCACCACAAGAGAAAAAAAAGCTAGGGTACCTAAATTCAAAACCACACGCAAATTTAAGCAATGTCTAAAAAAGGCCTAATTCGTCGCTCTCAAAGCATTTCGGTTCCATCACTAGTTTTCACAGGCATGTAATTTCGGCTGACATCTTTGTATCCGCTTTTTCAGGACAGAAAAGTGAAAAGAAGAGAGGACCACTCCTACTCAGCCAATCAGCTCTCAGCCCAAAGCGTCAAATAGTCACTCACAGGGCTCTTTTACAAACGATAAGATGAAACCAGTATCTTGTGGTCTGCATCGTTCGCAACGTTTTACTTTTACAAGACTCCTTCTGTTGCGGCAAACAACGTGTATTATTTATAACACAAAACAAAGTCAAAAACCCCAGCTTTAAATCAGTCTAGTAAAAAGGATAAAAGGCTGAATCACCTCACACATGCATCCTCATCAAAAGTTTAATTTTAGGAGTCATGATAAAGACACAAAAATGCAGCTGCAACAGTATATTTTTTTACTGTCTCGTTAAAGCAGCTCCTTCCACAAATATAAGTCACATGCAAAAGGAGGAGCACTGAGGAAGCTGTCCCACTGGGGTTTTGTCCCTGTCTGTGGTCTATGGGTTCAAAGCATCTCGCATAGGGAGGAGAGCTCTTAAACGGCATATTAAGCAGGAGTTAATTATATGCCAACCTAAGTGACAAAGGGGAGAGAAAAGCTTTTCCTTGAATGGCAAGACAAGAAAAGAGAAAAGTCATTATGCTGCCCACTTGTTTGCATCTAAAAAAGCGGCCCGTCTTATTTGGACAGTTTCATTTGTGACGCTACTAAAAAAGTGCAGATAGCGTTGTATGGCGCAGCCTGCAAACAAAACGCAAAGGTTTTATGACAACGTAAACGGCCACAGTAATACAGATGTGGAAAGCACTAACAAGCACATGTTTATCAGATTTGGAAGTCTTAGTGAAAAGTTAATGAGGTGTGTAACTGTAGATGAAAGTATATTGACCAAATAAAATACAATGGTTGAAAATGATAAATTATAAGTGCTTAAACATCCCAAAAAAATTGCTGGGAAAGTAGCAGTCATTGAGATTAATTTATAATTTTGACAACTGTGGATAAGATGTGGTTTTGTATTGGCCTGAATAACCTGCAATGATACTTTTAGGTTGGAAATACAAATATATGCAGCTACCATTCCATTGTTATTATTTTATTTATTTAAAAAGCAAGATAACATCATTACATTAAAATTAACATGAGCTATTTAGTTTAAGGGGTTATAAAGAATCAATAATGACTCAAGTCTCAAGACAGACCAACTCGGACTTTAAGGAGCACAGGGACCGGGCTCCAGCAGTAAACAAGGGGAGGCACTGATTTATGCAGCAAAAATATGGAACAGTCTTCCTGAAAATATAAGGCAGTTTTCTTTTGTCAAAAACAGCTGTTTGTCTGTGCAAACAACTGAAGGAATGTATCTTCACTCCGTTTAATGTACTGTGATTGGTTAAAATTTAACGCTACTGTTTAATGTTATTTTTTAAATTAGCTTTTTTTTCCATTTTGTGAAACACTTCAGTAAGGAAATTGTTAATAAATAAATGATGTAATAACTAATTTATGAAGTGGTTGTTGTTTAGCGATAGGATTTATTTAGGCAGTTATTCGTCATTTCTCCTCTGAGCCTCTTATGGTTGAGGTGGAGTCACTCATTGTTGTAGAAATGTCTAGTTTCTGAAAATGTAAAACTTTATTAGAACTAGTATTTTTTCAACAAGTCATTAGAAATCAAATTATTATCATGTGATAGTGCACATAATAATTGCACATAAAAATTGCGCTTGGGCATTTTAAATCCCTTACCTCTAACACCAGGATCTAAAGACAGATTCTTTATTTTTTTTCCTCTTGTACTTCAGTACTTCACTTTTGTAATCCTTGAAGACTGTTTTTGAATGGGCTTTACAAGTTGATATTATATTATTATTATCATTATTTGTCATTGTGTGTAGGCGTGTGTTGTGAGTATGTGTGTGTGTGTGTGTGTGTATGAATATAGAAGTACATACATATTTTAGCTTCATCTAAGGGTATAGCGAGTGCTGCATCTATTTCTTAAATCAGAATGAGTAGAATAGGAGAAATATGCTTTTGTCCCCTTCACAGGCTCTGGCACGACCTTTCTGAACAGGTCCCTTCTTTTAAATCACTTCTTAAAACCCACTTTTATGGATTGGCTTTCCTTTAACCATGTTGTTTTTTACTGTTCCGTATTGTCTTGTCTTTCATCTTGTATGCCCTCTGTCTTATTTTCCTGTATGTTGTTCTTTTTATTATAATGACTGTTTTTACTGACTTGTATTATTCTGACTGTGCAACACTTTGTAAACATTGTTTTTGAAAAGTGCTATACAAACAGATGTGTTACTATAATATTGATTCATGGTGAAACAGTTAAATATTGCTTATGTATTTATCTACACATGTATAGTTTTCATTGAATGCCTTTCCATACACATCATGTTTAACTTGTTCACGTCCCGTAGGCTATAAAGATCTATGTTTATTCTACTGATGTGGAGCGTGGCAGAAATCTTCAGACTTTCTTTCTTTACAAGTGTGCGATCCCAGTTGTAAAATATCAGTATTTTGACTGATCTCCACACGCCGCACCACCACTGACCCGGCGGTGGATTTACTGCTATTGTTTGTGGAAGCAGCTCGTGGGCCCAGTCCAGCAGAAAACTTCCCTTTTTCGCTCGGAGCCTATGAGTCAATCCCAGCGTGTGCCAGGAGCAGCGGCCGTGGCCTGTGCCATGCCACAACACCACAACGCCAATATAGTCTGGGGCCCCTGGAGCCCCGACCAGCCAACACTGTAAAAGTAATGACTTAACAATTTTAAAAATACAACAAAAGCACAAATTATGAACATGTTAAATTAGACAGAAGAAATGACAGGTAGCTTCCAGTGACCACACACCACTGGTTTCTTTTTTAACATGTGACTGCAGGAATGAGGGAAATCAAATTTAGGATAGTTGTGTAGCACCAGTTAAAAATGATGTTAAATTACATTTATATAATTATGTTCAAGTTTTTAATTTACAATAACAATGATTTTTGTTTAAGAGTTTAAGTTGCTTCCATCTGGACGCAGATATAGCTCCACTAAATGTAGGACTAACAGATTTAAGAACTACTTTATGACTGTGGCTGTTGGTACTGTATGTTAAACCTGTCATTGTCGTCCTGTTGTATTGTGTATTTATTGTTACTGTGATTAGATGGGGAGCTGGACATTCTGTCTACAGGGTTTACATTGGCGTTACTACATGCATTTTTATGTAATTTACAGCTTGTCAGTAATGAGAATATGTTTGTGAAGTTGGAGATCAAGCTTTATTGAGGGCTCAAATACTATTTTCTATTAAAAGCAATTGCCATTCCCAAAGTCTGGAGCACAGTGGCCCCTGATTGATCAAAATATCTGTTGGGCCCCCCTATAATCAATTCACATTTTAGTTAGAATATTTCTTTGTACATTTAGACCATGTTCACACTACTTGGCCTGGTTTACTTTCACTGGACCATGTCTGGTTCACTTGGAGCAAAATGCTTCATAGATCTGCTTTAAAATAAGTAAACTAACTAAAGTGACTGATGGACAGGTGGTCACTTATTATTGGTAGTTTTAAATCCAATCCAAAGTTAAAAAAAAAATTGCCTCAAGTGTTCCAACTTGGTGTAGTTAAAGTTAACCAGACGTAAATATAAACACATTGTTTAAATGAGGATTTAAGTTCTTAAAATCAGTGTCACCATCCATCCATCCATCCATTTTCTACCCTTTAATCCATTTCTGGGTCAGGGGGGTGGCAATCAGAGATGCCACCCAAGTCTCATAGCACCAGCCCCTCACTGACCCTCTGCAGGTGGTGAGTCCACAGGAGGACGGCTGCTCTCTGAGTGTGAGCATAGCCTTGATCTTTCAGTGGGGGCTTTGGGCAAAGTGGGGTTAAGTGTCTTGCCCAAGGACACAACGACAGCAGTCATCAGAGGGAGTCGGTGGAGAAGGTGCAGAGGTGGAAATTGAACCCACGACCTTCTGGCCTTAAGGCCAATGCTCTACCAACTGAGCTACTGTCGCCCCTACAGTGTCACCAATTTGTGCAATTTACAGTATATACATCTCAATGACTTGTTCTGTGGACAAATTTAGGAGGACTCACTGTGGACCCCATTTTGGGTATGACTGAGATTGAGAATAGCATTTGAATATAGTCTCTGTCCTGTAACACTGGACAGACCACAGTCGCTGGAGAAGACTTGTTCGAGGCCTTATGTCACCAAGGTCTGTTTTAGTGCTCATTCAAGTGAGAGGCAGTCATCCAAAACAAGTATTTCTAACAGTATTACTGCTACCCTGGTGAACTTGGTAACATATATTTTGGAAATATCTTTTCAGCAACATTGTAATTACCCTTTGTCATTTGCCTTAGAGAAGTACTGGAATAACATGACGCTGTCTCCACCCTGCGTGTTCCCAGGCTGCACTGCACTCTAATGGAAGACCATGGTCATTGCATTGTTTCAACAGACAACTAAAAACATCTTATTTTGCATCCAAACTGAAAATGTTTATTCATAAACTGGTAAAATATAGGACATTTGTATAAAAATGTAGAAAATTTTACACAAAATATAACACTTTTCTAGAATAGACACTATCTTGATAGCTTTTGTTACTACGGTGATATTCTTTTGCCAGCAAAAAGTCAGAATGAAGGATGACACTTATAAAACACACAGAGAACATCCATAAAGTTCATTGTTATAAAACAGTTTGTACAATATTTCTCACATTCTAAATATTAAATGTCAGTCAAAGTTCATGTCCTATTACTTTTTAGTGTTAGATTCTACCTGTGCACGATTCTACAGCCATGTAAGGTGTCTTTGGTTTTTGGTAACTTGATGTAACTTGACAAAACCATTGTACTTTTGTAACTCTCAGGTTGACAGCTGTAATACTGACGTAATGTCTTCTTTCTTTATACAGTGTCCCTGTGGGTATTTAAGAGGCCGAGGAATCATACAGTTGACAGTGGCTTTATAATCTTCTTTTAGATTTGTAGAATACCGTTTGATGGTACTATTTATATATGTATTTTGTTATATATATTTTTTCATTAAAAGGTGTTACTGCAGAGAGGTGAAAATATAAAAATGAGGAGGAAAGTTCACCATCCTCATTTTCTATGTCTTTGTGGAAAAGGCATATTTAAGGCATATCAAATTTGAGCAAATAATGGGACCAAACTGTATGTACTTTCAAAGCTGCTCTTCAAACACAGTAAAAATGGAGTGCAATCATTTCGTCTTGAGAAGGCAACAAATATATCGTCAGACTACAAAAGTCCTGAGTGTTTGAGTAGAATATACTAAAGAAAATGTGCATACTGTGGAAATACTGATGTCTCTTGTGAAGGCGGCTGTGATAGACAAAACATGAAAACGGAATATTATTTACTAGCACCGACAAAGGCTTTCTTACAACAAGCCCATATTCAGCTCATGTCAAAGCTTCTCCACAACTTTGAAAAGAACAGAGCGTGATTATCTACTGCCCCAATGTCATGTACAACGCACACACATATGTTATATATAATGTATATAAAATCTATTTACAAGTCCTTCGTATAGTTCCAAAGCCAAGTGTGGTAGGAATGCCTGCAAACAACAGTTGAACAGCAGGTCAGGCATTTGGCTGCGTCTTACAATAAGGCAAATATTAAGTACCAACATTACAAAAACAAAAGCAAGGCAGGCTGGTCAGGCACTTTTGGTTACAACCCCGGGAAACGAAAAACTGAGAGTGCATGATTATTGCTGTACCATAATTGTGCAGAAACATTGGCTATTCAAAGTGTTGACCCATAGATAGTAAAGTATTAGCTGCAAAAAAGACAACGCTACATAAGCATGTCCAGGCTGGTGGATACATATAAACTTTATAAAGTGTAACAGTCTTCAAGACATAGTGTTCAGGTATTTGTTCTCTCCAGCCAGTGAGGTGAGCATGGACGTCATGTCACCCACTGCCATGTTGGACAGTCCCGAGCCTGGAGCCAGAGTCACCGAGGTCTGAGGGGTTGTAAGGCGGGATGAGGCCTGGGACCCTATCTGACCTGGGGCAGTGTTTCCTGCATTGAATGAAGGAGAGTCTGTGTCATCAATGATGGATGTGAAGTCAATTCGAGCATTGTCCAAGTCCAGGTTTTCTAAGGTGTTGGAGATTGGGCCAGGCTCGAAAGGAGCAAGTGGAACATTCTGCGGGTCTATGTGTTTATCCATTTCCATGCTAATTTGCCCAGAGTAATACATGTTATTGTTTGTGGGAGAAAACATTTCATTTTGGGGTGCCTGCTGGTGCTGGACCGGGGGAAGCCTAATACCTCGCCTTGGGCTGGAGGTGGAATGAACAGGGCTGAGGTGGGGTGGGCTGTTTAGGTATGTCCCACCCATTTGAGATAGACTGTTCTGGCGGCTCAGAGGCTTCCTGCCAGGCGGAGGTCTTGGAACCATGTCTTGATTGTAACAGGTGCCTTGGAGACCTGCCATCTGCTGGTCTTTGGGGGTCATTGCAGCTCTGTTGTGGACTGGGGAAGTCAGGACCATGTTTTGGTTGGGGTAGGTAGGAAATGACTGATTAGGGTACAGGTTCTGGTTTGGGTGCTGTGGACTGTGCTGCATCATTTGTCCACTCATATCCATGTTGTCAGAAAGAGGCGGGGCTTTGACTGGCTGTTCATTCTGGTGCTCCCACATAAGAGCTTGCTGAGATTGCACATAGTTCCTTACCATCATCTCTTTGACCTGCATGATAGGTGTCTCAGACCTCTGCCCTTCAGAAAGTGCATTGCCGGCACAACCTAAGCTCATGCTGCCTCCACTTGGAAAAGAGCTTTGGTTTGGGAAGTCACAGCCCACGTTGTTGATGTTCCTCATCATGCTCTGTCCTGCAGGGTAGTTCTGGCCCTGCTGCAAATGCATCCGCTGTTGATGTTGGAGCTTGGCACTCTGGCATGCGTCCCCGGCTCCCATCCCAGGGTGGAACTGTTCTGGCTTAATGTTGAGTTTGTGAGTGCCGTCTGGTCCGTTGTATTGATTATTGTTATAGTGCGACTGAGACTGCATGTTGGGATCTGCATAAGGCATGCCTCTCTGGTCATGGCTCCAAGGCCCCACACCAGTGTCACCTCCCTGTCCTAAAGCTGAATAATGAGGGCCTGAAGGGCTGAGCTGACAGTTGCTCATCCCATACTCTGCCTGTTGGAGAAGAGTGTTGGAGGAGACATCTCCTGCCTGCACGTAATGTCCCTGATTATAACCCTGGTCAGTGCAGCCATGACCTGTTGACAGTTGGTTCGACACAGGCCCACCAAGGCCCTGCTGCTGGTATCCTATGTAATTCCTCTCTGGGCCAATATGATGCTCCATTCCCATGGACTCCATCATGACGTTTTCCGTTATGCTGGGTGGGCGAGGGGAGTATATGTGTCTGCCCATGCTGGAGTCATTGCCACGGTGCTGAAGAGCATTCCTTCGACTCATCAGGGACACATTAGTGAGGCTATTGAAGCGCTTGGACAGAGCCTGTGGGTCTGCTGCAGACCGGACCGGGTCACTGGCCCTCCTGGTGTTGTTTCCTGGAGCCTGGTGTGGGTAGATTATACCAGTCCCATACTCTGTGTTAGCACTGTGCCTTCGTGGACCACCATGTTGAAGGAAAGCAGGCAAAGGCTGTCCCTGATAGTCACTTAACAAGCCCCCTCTTCTTGGTGGTGTCCTGGGCTGCTCCATGTTGGGAAGAGGAGTGGGGGGAGGTCCACCTGTTGCAGCAGCATATTTGGCTTTGAGATTGTACTGCTGAGCTGGAGTGAAGTTTGCAAGTCCAGGTAGTCCCCCTGATGGACAAGGAGGACCTCTTCGATTCATCTCAGGTGAAAGTGGGTCTCCTCCTGCGCTCGGCTCAGGACCTGTGAGGTGGGACACTTCACTGGAGCGTCGGCTGGACAGAAACGGGGACACCATGGAGGATCTGCGGCTCACAGTGTAGGCAGAGCTCAGGCTGCTGGTGCCGCTCCCTCTCCTGTCAGCAGAGCAGCCCATGGAGCCTCCGGCCGCATCGTGACTAGACAACTCCATCACCCGCCGGTTTGAGATGAGAGGAGAAGGGGCACACATGTTATCACTTGCACCTGGAATTGAGAAAATACCACATGTTAGTGTCATTTCTTTATCATCCGTTGAAAAATAGCTTTTACACAAAAACTGCTACTTTTTCAGAACTGTTCGTTGGTGTGCATTGTCCCTGTTCAAAACTGATACCACTGTAGAGCAGTGGTGTTTACACAAAGTACCACAAAAGAGTCGGCCTACATTCCCACAAACCTTACTCACACTTGTCCTGGTGGAGGACTCCTCCTATTTTTATTCCAAAAAAAAATTCTTGGAAAAAACACTTTTCCACAAGATGTTATTATCTTGTGGAAGATAATGACATTCTCTATTATTATCTTCCCCAATATAACAGAATGTTCCATAGTGTAGTTTTAACTTAATATGAACCAATGAACTAACGACTACATTTACAAATCAGGCAGGTGCTTTCACTAACTACAGAAACAACTCACTAGGATTAAGAAAATACTATTATGTGATTTTCTGAACGTTCTACATCAATCTAAATTATATTGTCTGAGGATATATGCAATATACTGGAGCTGAAACATGATCCAAATTTTCATATATTCGTATATTCATTACATATTTAATAATTGATCAAAGATTATGGTGTGCATAAACTCACCTGGAATGGCTGGCAGCTTGTTATTGTTGCATCGAGAAGGAGGAGTTCGTATTTGCTTCAGTTTGTCGATCTTGAGGTTCTCGAGCCTCTTCAGAGCCTGAGCGGACATGCCCACTCCTCCTGACTCTGGGGCTCCAGTGACTCCATCCTCCAGTGCCGTGAGGTCCTCCAGGCTGCCCGCTGCGTTCACGTTCATCTCCACTCCACTGTCGTTGTTGTTACCGCTCCCCAGTGGAGAACGCTCGCTACTGCAGGATGACTGGCCTCCAGGACTAGGCTGGGATTTCTGAAACATGGGACAGGAGATATTGGAAAAGTGCTGGAAGCGCTCTGTTCTGTTATGTAACTAAACCTGTAACAGATAACAACATAGAACAGTTCACTTTGTCACAAGGTGGAGCTTGTGTGTGTTGATCATTGTTGGGAGTGACTGGACAAAACTAATGTAATTACTGTAATGTAATTGAGGTCAATGGGCATTACATTGCATTGTAACCCAAAATTAAGTTGTGATTTGTTTTATACTACGCTACCGTAACATCAGCAGAGGAGTAAAAAATATGTGGTAAAAGTAGCCGAATAAAAGTTTTTCCCTTTCTGGTAGAAGATGGCTGAAGCTGAAGCAGAAGCATTAGGGTTAGGGCATTTTCAAGATGGGCATACTCCCATTATTTTGAGTTTGTTGGATAAGTGCACTTTATGTGCAAAATCAAGGGAGGGATTCGAACACAGCTCATATAAGGTGAGTGCTTTGTCCGGTGCTCATCAGGATGAACAATGAAAAACCCCGGCAACATGTGAGAAAAGAAAATCGGAGGCTTTAATGAACGATATGTGTGCAATAATCTGATGTGTGCAATATTGGGATGTGTGCAATAATTGGATATGTGCAATGATGTGGACTCTAACCTGGTGGATTTTGGTGGACTATTAATGTGTAGCCTGTGCGGGAAGGCAAGCTGTTTTTTTGTTTTTTATTTTACTCTTTTGTTTTTGTTGATGTTGCTGTATTTGACCCGTGTGACCCTAACCCTATGGGACTGTAAATGGAAATTAACCTTTTGCTATAATCTAGCATGTTTATATTCATGTTTTTAATGTGTCTGTTCATTGACATACACGGTCCCATTAAAAAAAAAAAAAGTTTTCAGTTCAGTTCAAATGTAGTGGGGATGAAAGTACTGATACCTGTAATAAATAAATGTATTTATTTTCCTAGATCACTCCTTTCACCTCTGAAAGTAAGGTATTTAACTATTCCCTGTGATCAATAGAAGAGAGTATATAGTTTGGGGATTCCAGAAAAAACACAGTTGAATTTGACAAAAGACAAACTTAAAGAAAGAACAATGCACTTACGAGCAAAGATTCAGGAGCCAACAGTTTGCAGTCTTCTCTACGTGGTTCTTCCTTCTCTAGTAACAGTTCTGTGTTCTGGCCACCAGGGGTCAGAGCTGAGTTAGGGAGCCGAGGCCCAGTGTCGCCTCTGTGCTTCTTGGTGATGTGAGCCTCTGGACCATGCACTGTTTTCACGTGTTTTCGCAGTGAGCTCGGGTCTGTGTAGCGTTTAGTGCAGCCAGGGATCTTGCACACGTAAGGTTTCTGTAAAAATAAGTTTATAAGTTTCATGTACAACATCTAAAGCGACTACTGATGTATTATGGCTCTGGATCTGTCCCACACCTCATTGGAGTGGGTCCTATTCTGATGCTTGGCCCGGTCAGATGCGTTGGAAAAGGCCTTGTTGCAGCCTTCATGTTCACACACGTATGGTTTTTCTCCGGTGTGAGAGCGCAGGTGGGTCTTCAGGTTCTCCAGACGTGAGTATGCCTTGTTGCATCCCTCAAACTACAACACAAAAGCACAATAACATCAGTTCAGATTTTTCATTAAAGCTCAGAGTAATCCATACAGTTGATTCAATGAAAAAATACATCAAAGTTTGTTCAAATCCTATATAGAGCTCAAAACAACAGAATATTCAGTTTAAATATTTAATGGAAATGCTGGCTATCAAAAATGTTAATGCGCTTTATTATGTGGCTTAACTCAATAGACATTTCAAGCCCACCACAAAACCCACTTCACGACTCCCACTGATGACTGCTGTCGCTGTGTCTTTGGGCAAGACACTTAACCCCACTTTACCTGAAGCTCCCACTGAAAGATCTCAGCTGCAGGAGGATCAGTGAGGGGCTGGTGCTATGTGTACTGGGTGCAGCTCTGACTGCCACCCCCTGACCCAGAAATGGATTAAGGGTAAGAAAATGGATGGATGGATTTAAAAACATAATGTGATGAGGCCAGTAGAAAGGACTTCAGACTTACAAACATTATGGCGGCTTTGTGAATCTAGTTACTATCAAATAATTATGTGAGAAAATCTTTCTTTTTCAATATTTCTGACTTCTTTCCATGGAGTTGTTTTAGCACCTGGCCTCCAAACTGAAATAAAATTCTAGAATATGTTTTATATTATACTGATATAGTTTTTGCATGCATTTTTCTTTATTCTGAATATAGTAGTTTTAAGTAAGTAAATTATTTCTTTATTTATACAGCGTCTTTCACATACCAAGATCACACAAAGAGCTTAACAATGTTTGGACACTAAACCCCTCTCCCGGAGCATGTAACTGATGGTCAGAGTTGGCAGAGACACACACTCACAGTGCACTTGTGTGGCTTCTCCCCCGTGTGTCGCCGCATGTGAACCACCAGCATGTACTGCGCCTTGAACGGCCTCTGCTCCCGCGAACACTCCTGCCAGTGGCACACAAACTCCTTCTTCTCCCCGTGGATGTGCTCATTGTTGATGTGCTGTAATTTCACGTCCTCATGTTAAAACGGCTAATAAAACAATAGTGCTTTATGAGAAGTTGTTTATGGACATACATGGACAAGCTGGTCCTGCGTGTCAAACTCTTTCTGGCAGCTTTCCCAGTGACAGTTGGTCTCATAGATGGCCTCTGGTTCAGGCTTCCCGTCCTCTTTGTCCAAATCATCTCTACCATCCAGCAGGCCAAGAAGAGGGTCCTGAATATGGATACAAAACTTCTATTTCATTCAGAATTATTTGGAATATTACATGAAAACAATGCTTGTGCAATATGACCTGCATATTTTGTGTCCACAGAACAAAACTAGGAATCAGTTCTTCAGATTCATTATTATCTGAAGAACTGAACGTATTTGTTTAACCCACATTGTTTTTACAGTATCTATATCTTAAGCACGCGTCATTAATGTCACATATATAGTGATGGCATCTTCTGTTTTTATGCACATTGAGACAAATCATGTAAAAAGCTCTGTCTTGTCTAGTGCTATCTGGAGTCGGACTCGAAAATAAACCATGTACAGGTGCAACCGCCGCTGCCTTGGCTTCATTTCTCGACAAGTTTAAAGCAGGGATGTCAAACTAGTCTTCAGAGGGCTGGTGTGGATGCAGTTTTTAATTTTAACCGAGCAGGAGCACACTAGACTCTTCCTAAGTGAGTCCAGTTTTAACCTGGAGGCCTGAGGAAATGAGTGGAGTCTGCTGTGCTTCTGCTTGGTTGGCACTAATCCTGGCAGCCACACCGGCCCTTTCTGGAACCAGTTTGACACCCCTAGTTTAAAAAAATATGCGGGTTGACATGCATAGTGACATATGAAAATGGTGAAGTACCTGAGTACCAGTGGAGGAAGGACTGGCCACATCTCCTTCTGACCGCTCCTCCAAGCTTTTCACATTGATGCCGTCCATCCCACCTCCCAGACCGGGCTCAGTCTTTAACTAAAATAGAAAACCATTATCAATCTTCCTTCAGAGATTCTAATATCGCCATCATCATTGAGTGCATGAGGTGTGGTGGGCTTACATGTCCGTGTTTGGGTGGTGCATGCAGCCGGGGGTTGTGGGGGGGTAACCGAGAGGCCTGGCAGGGTCCAGGTGTGTGCCCACCCAGAGGAGTCAAACCCCCGCCTCCGTACAGCGAGCTCGGCTGACGCGACTGGCAGTTCATGTTGTTGTAGTTGAGAGATGGACTGTGCAGAAGACCATTCAATTGAGAATCACTTTTTGGTATTGATATTTCTTTCAAGACTCCAAATTGGCCAGCAGCAAACAATTTATTCTTTAGATCTCTAGCTGTTTTTTTACTTTTTATCAATAAATCTTTGTGTGTAAAGCGCCTTTCTTACACAGGTCAACACAAAGCGCTTCATAGTCCATATCACACGAGGCACAAACACCAAAATCACCATTAAAAACACTAATGAAATCACATATGTAATTCAAAACATTCATTACATATATCAGTATCTTTTATATATTTCAATTCATGTTTTTTTCTTTGTTTTCAAATTCTATTGCTGTTATTTATTCAACCTTATTTACTGCATATCTATTTTTGGTACATTTTTGACTCAATGCTTGACTGTCATGAAAATGTCATGACTATGGTTTTCATTTTTCTGTGCAGCACTTTGCAAACTGTTTATTAAATGTGCTGGATAGAAAGTATGAAAGTGTATTAGAAATATAACTATAAGAAACTATAGAAACATAATTAATCCTTGCTAATATAAATATAAATACATGCATGCACTAATAATTTCCCTGTGATTCGCAAGAAGGATAACTGAATGCTCGTATCATCATGCCTACCTCATGGCGCTGACAGACAGGTGGCCGTAGGAACTGGATCCGTTGGTATTGCAGCGTGCATTGACAAAGGCCACGAGAGAATTGGGTGAAGTTCGGATCACGGTCTGCAGGTCGACACTGGCGTCCGACAGAGGAGAAATGGACAGGGCTCTCTTCTTGCTCAGCTTCAGCATCGAGCGAGGCGTAGAGTATCTGGACCCTGAGCGACATGGAGATCAACAACGTGAGCCAAAACAACATAAAAGTTATGCAGATTGAGTGACAAAACCTTTACTACCATCTCCAGCATTTGGGTCGGAGCCCGGTGGCAGCTGACAGAAGTTGTGGTGCGAGGACATCATGTTGTTTTGGTTACAGTAGGGGGGGACACCTGAAAAACAAAGCAGAAACAAGACAGCTAAAGATGTTCTGCTTCCAGGTGGGCAGAGCCTAGTGGAGTCCAAAAGAAAGAGAGTCTGACTCACCCTCTGGTGGCGGCATCCCCCTGTGTCCCATCATTGAGTGTGGAGGCGGGGCTTGGGGGGGTCTCATGTACGAATCTACGCAGTGACCAAACCCTTGTCCTGGTGCCGACCCGTGCGTCATGCTGGGAGTCATGGGGTTGTACATAGTGCGGCAGTCTTGGGGTGGGCCGTTTGGGTGTGGAGCACGCATCGACGACACTTCAGAGTACTGATCAGATGGGACTAGACTAGAGAGAAAACACAACACTTAAAAATCATCCAAATCTGATAATATACAATATTATCAGATATTGAGCTTTCAATATTACAAAATATTGAAAGCTCAACGGGATGCTCTGGGACATTGATCTAATTGCTTAATTCTTGTAAAAAAGTGATTTCATCTGTTTGTCCTCTTTGACCAATGACACATGTTCCAGTCTTCTGTTGCCAAAACAAAAATTTTGAGATAATTTTAGTCCATTAAATTTTTTATTTATTGTCTATTACTAAATCACAACAACCTACATTCTTTATGAACTCAAACAACATCTACAACTTGTCATGTAAGTAAGCTTTATTTATATACCGCCTTTCACAGACCAGAGTCACAAAGCGGTTTACAATTGTTATTTTATGGGCACTTGTCCTCTCACTCCACACAGAGATGGGAGCGGGGTCGCCGAACAGGAGGCGCATGCCAGACCTATTGTACATATTTTTAGTGGTAGGGGAAACCGGAGTACCCGGAGGAAACCTACGCAGACACGGGGAGAACATGCAAACTCCACTCAGAAAGGCCCTGGTCCGGCCGGGATTCGAACCCAGGACCTTCTTGCTGAGAGGCGAGAGTGCTATCCACTCAGCCACCGTGCCGCCCATGATGTTGTTGTAATACACATTCGTTGCCACTAGATGGAAACAAAGTCTCTAATGATGCTGCCTGTAACGTTATCTGTGGGGTTTCCCCTCCAATTTACAGCAGAGATGTTTCACAGAAACTTCTCTGCCTAACTTGAACACATTTCCAGATCTGATTGTTTAGGCAGTTTTTATATTCTTTTATGTACCCTCCTACATAACACAACTGTGCATTTTCTCCTAAGTCTCTCTTTCACTGCTTTACACCATTCAACTCAACGTGTATTCCACACAGGAGCTTAATCTGTCCTCCCTAATCCATGATTCCCCCAGAGTTGAGCCCCCTCCCACTCACACAGTTCTCATTCATCCCTCTGCCTCCTCTTCCTCACTCTCTGCCTGTCCTGGTGAAGCAGCAGTGGTTGTGGGTAACCTGAGCGCAGCGCGGGGCAGTCATGCAGAGCGCACTGGGGCCTGGTCAGCCTGTAATTAGCAGCTGTCAGAGAGGCCGAGTCCACCCCACAACCTGGGTGGCAAAGGGGCGGAATGGGGCGGACAGGGGCGGAGCATAGGGCAGAGCTAATGTCCACAATACAACTGGGAAATGGGAATTAGGGTTTGACATTTTAGGTTTAGGTTAAGATTAGGGATGCACTCATCCGTCTTGTTCATTGATGCTGGTACTTTGGCCTTCAATAACTACCAATACCTAATATCAATAATACCAGGGAAAGGACTGAAAAACCCAGGCATTCCCATCAAAAACAGCGTATTACAAAATCTAATTTCGTAACAGCAGAGCAACTTTGTAGGAGTAAAACTATGATGTTGAGTTAATATCAAATAGATAGATAGATAGCAGCATCCATACACTCATCAAGAAATATTCAATTCTGAAAAGTAACCAACAATAGTAATATGTTCAGCTCAGTCAGATCTGTTGTATTTTGACTGTTATGGCCGAACCTGTTGGAGCCTGTTGTGAGTTCCAATTCGGATATTGGCTTAACCAACATCATCTCCATTCCATTTTATTATTCAATATTGCCATTGATACTAAAAAAAGTGATCAATGCCAACGACACCGACGGGAACTTTCTAACTCCGAGGGTAAAGTATGACTTGCACAGTTGGTAAAGTATATGCAGTTCTGACTCGGGGCTTTGGAGCATCGCTGGTTTGTTGCTGCCCTGGTGCCTGCTGCGTCGGAATCTGCTGCTTGTTGCTGTCGTGTTGTTGCACATTGCTTCGCTACTGGCTCCAAACACACACCGGATGTAAATATGATATTCACAGGGGTGGGAATTGATAAGATTTTTCTTCCTCCCACTCCTTTTCGAGTTTGAATAACGTACAATATTGTAATAAGTAATTGTATATTCATTATTTGCAAGAAAATGTAGTGATGTGTCTATGTTCTATGTACTGACATTTGATAATTCATGTTTGATGTATAATTGAACTCGAAATAAATAAACACTCAACTCCAAGTATGCCTCGATGAATAGATTTTATGACAGAGTTCTTTTTACACAAATCTTCTCAAATCTGTAATGGAGCCCCTTCATAAATCCATCTTAAATCAGAGAACGACGAGTAATGCAGTGCTTGTGCATGTGTGGAGGGACGCCTTACCCTCGGGTGGGCTGGTGGGCTGAGTTTTCATACTGATACAGCCCCTGGTGCGGCTGCATATCCACTGGCATCAGGACGCCACGCTCCCCTCGCAGTCACCCTGGACCTGAGTGACGCACACAGAACAAGAGCGCCGTTAGAGCAAAACCAAACAAACCCTGCCCAGCTCCACAAAATGCCCCGGCAATGAGAAGGAATACGCCGCAGAGACTAAAACAATTGTGGCTGGACAAAAAGGGCACATTGGACAGTAATAACAGAGCAATGCAAACCAAGTAAAACAGTTGAAGGGTCGAACAAGCAATCTGAGAGCGTGTAATCCACGGCTTGGAAGAAAAGGAAGTACGCGAATCCCACACATTGTGCAAACTAAGACTGTAACAAGTAAATGACCACCTACAATTTATAGATTATTGAAATAGTCAACTCATTTGATAATTGATTCATAGTTTTTTGATTAATGATAACAACAATAATGCTTGTATTTTAAATAGCTCTTTTCTGGATACCCTTCACAGCATTATTCATTCACTTCATACATGGTGGTGCTAAACTACAACTGTAGGCACGGCTGCCCTGGGGCACACTGATAGAAGTAGGTACCGAGTAGCCATTTGGCCACCACCAACCATTCACACCACCAGACTCATTCTAGGGAATGTGGGTAAAGTGTCTTGCCTAAGGACACAACAATAGTTTCGAACTTTACATCCGCAGCCCCCTCACTGTGGCTCCCTCTGTTCCTAGAGGTCTCCCATCATAGTTCTAACCAGGCACTGTCCTGCTTAACTTCAGAGATCTGACGGAATCTGGCTTTCTCTCTCTGTAAAGATGTTTTCCAGGGGGACTGAGGCATAGTGTGTGTGTCAATAGTCAGTGGTTGCATCACTTCTGTCAGTCTGTCCCAGGGCAGCTGTGGCTTAAGTAGTAGCTTATCACCACTGTCATGCCATGTGAAGTGTCTTGGATTCCAAATAACTATGTAAAGCTGATGTATTGTTAATATTACTTGAGCTTTGTTTTGGTCAAATGTCAATGGTCATTGACCTTCCAGGATCTAAACAACTAATCGATTAATCTAAATAATAACAATGCAAAGTGTAAAGAATAAACAATAGAAAAATCTGCAGGTCCAAGTTTAGACGTCCTGTGAAATCTCCATCAATGTGAGGGGAAAAACGAGCAACTGAAGCGACTGAGTAAAAGGTCTGAAGACAAGGTAAACAGAGGTGTCTTTTGTGTGGGAGTCACATTAAGGAGCTTTCTGTCATCACCAGGCCTGTGTGCAGTGATTGCAGCGCAGACATCAGAGGCACCTGCATCACGCCCATCCACATCAGTCCAGCTGCTGCTTGAGTAATGGTCACATCAGTCTGACTGTTCATGACTATATTTGTGTGTGCAGTAGTGAAAGTTACACAAGGTAACCTCTGTCGACATGTGTGACTGGAATTAAATCTTATTAATAATCAAAATGAATGAAAATCAAAGAATGACTGAGTTAATATTGTTAAAGGCTCATCCGTTATTGTAACCTAATAACAGGTCACATTAGACTGTCTACAATCAGATATCAAGCAACCACTCAACACACATTCAAATACGCCTGTGTTCACAGGCAAGACCATTTAGTGTCTTGCTGATTTCACACCTGCAACTGTGGGTCTGTGGATCTGACCGCTCCATGTAGACTTATGTCTTATTATTTATAATAAACTGCCTTTGATATGGCACATTCATAGTCAGCACTATGTCAGCACTGATTTTATGACACAATTTTCAGTTGTTTTGAAGTGACACCAATGGCCTCTTTGAATTAATATATTGCTCGTATGGAATCCATTAAAAAGCCCTTTGTAGGCTTTCACACAATTGGCCCTGGACCAACGAGTCATATATTTTTTTTGTCCTTTTGAAATAAACAAACTTCTGTTTAGCTTCTGTTCATGTGACACGTGTCCACCTCTAAACTGGCTGTTGCAGCACATGAAAGCTGTGGTCCACAGCGGCTGCCATGACTGCTATGCAGTAGCACAAGTGTTAAAAGGCCAGTGGGGACCTATTTAAGCCCACAGCCTACCACAGGGATTTGGAACGCAAAGTTAGCGAAAGGCTAAATGACATGGGCGGATCCTGGCTAATTGTACACATTTATCTGGCTTTAAGCATGTGTGTGTATTAATCATACGGAAGTGCTGAATAGAGTCCACACCTCAGCTGCCCCGGACTAATAAATACCAAAAGGAGGGTCGGCTCTGTGCACATTTACAAAGCTCTGGATGCACCTGTCAGTCTCGCAAGGGGGCAACACAACAGACCGATGACCACCTAGTCTGCAGTCTGTAGAACTGTGAGATCAGACCCATAGCTATGGAGAAGAGTGTGCTATGTTTGTCTGTATAAAAGATATGTTCTGAAACCACTGCAGTCATGTTTCGGAGTGAGAGGGAGTAACTCCCAATGCAAAAGAGTAAAAATGTTGGCCCTGTTGTTAACATTACTACAGTTTAAATAAACACAGTTAGACTGTTGAGATGCTCAGAACTAAGCCAGAAACAAGTTGAGATGTGTGGTGCCACCTGCATCACAAAAGCAAAGCAGTGCTGGGTTTGGATAGTACTGTGATGGGAGACCTCTGGGAACACCATTTGACACAGTGGGATGGCAGAGTCTCAGTTCTCGTTGTGTCAAATTTCCAAGAGGAAGTCTAATGTGAGGTATGGTGCATGATTGGTGTCGGACGAAGCAGCTGAAATTAATGTTGGATGTAATATTATTCATTCATTATTATTCATAAAAAATAGTGAAGACCATAAAAGCCTCCTGTGATGCAACAGCAGCAGGATTCCGCAGTTCCAGGTAATATTTTTGATCAAGTAACTGGCAAGGTGTAAACTACTCGGCCCCCTCCATCTGCACCTTCGAACTGCCCTGTCCGCCCTGACTCGTGGGCTGCACCCCCCCTCGCCTGGAAGCTGCTTCAGTCCTGCACCGCACCTTAACCTGTGTCCTGCGCTGCAGGGCCTTGGTCCTCGATCTGTAGCTTGAGTCCTAGATCTATAGCTCCTCCGTCTGTGGGAGCGGATCTCCCACAAGAGGAGATCCGGGAAGGTCGGTAAGGTTTTTCCTTACCGTCATAGGAGGATCTGTTTGACTGTTCTACTGGGCTATATAAGAATAAATGTAAATGAATTGAAAGACAAGCATCAGTTAGACCTGGCTCATCAAAGTCTTTGTCTGTTGGCTTAACTATTCTTCCTCAGCAAATCTTTATGGTGGTAGTTCTATCTAAGGAAAATGTATTATTTCAAAAAAAGACCTTGCAGAAAGGGGGTGGATGTTGCAGATATGTATTTAGAAGTCAACGCCATTCCCCAAATGAATGAAATAGGCTGAAAAATTCACGCTCACTGAAACAGGTGTAGAAACATACTGCTATTTTTGGGCAATATTTGGTGAGAAACTGGAAGGCAGCTTTCGCTCTGGTGTAATTTTGTGGTGCTGGCTTCAGAGGACAGGGGTAACAGCAAATTAAAAACCCCAAGGTCATAAATCACAAGGCTAAATAAACAGGGTGTTCTGCCCCAGCGCAGACTGTGCAGGGCTGGGCAGAGACCAGAGGCCAGAGACCAGGGACCAGGGACCAGAGACCAGAGATCAGAGACCAGAGACCAGAGACCAGAGACAAGAGACAAGAGACAAGAGACCAGGGACCAGGGACCAGGGACCAGAGACCAGGGACCAGAGATCAGATCAGGGACCAGAGACCAGAGACCAGAGACCAGAGACCAGAGACCAGAGACCAGAGACCAGAGACCAGAGACCAGAGACCAGAGACAAGAGACAAGAGACAAGAGACAAGAGACAAGAGACAAGAGACAAGAGACAAGAGACCAGGGACCAGGGACCAGAGACCAGAGACCAGAGACCAGAGACCAGAGACCAGGGACCAGGGACCAGGGACCAGAGACCAGGGACCAGGGACCAGGGACCAGGGACCAGGGACCAGAGACCAGAGACCAGAGACCAGAGACCAGAGACCAGAGACCAGAGACCAGCTGACCAGAGACCAGAGTCCAGCGAGCAGGGAGAGACTAGAGACAATAGAGGCCAGAGACAAGCACAGCACCCCCACCCCTTTCAACTCACTATAAAGTGAACAACAAGTGAGGGCGGTGCAGTAATTAGAACTAATCACATTGATAAAGAAAAAAAAGTTAATTTCTCCTCGTAATAATTGGGATTGGAGCTACATACTTTAGAGTAATAACAATATGTAAAAAAAATGTATGTTAGGTGTACAATAATTCATATTTAATAATAATAATGATTATAATATCTTTTGGGAAAAGGCCCAGTTTGAGTGACTAATGCGGCACAGTTTAAGCAGAGGAAAAATAGAAAGACCTGACTCCCCCAAGTGTGATGTGGTTTAGCTCAATAAGGTTCCACTCAGGCTTAACCTACAGCCCAACTCTCAAACCTCCAATAAATTAAATTACGTCTCCAAGAAAAATATATTTAACATGTACTGTCAGTGCCAAGCGTTAAGTCAGAGATCAAAGGCAAAGCTGATATTGTTGACAGTGCAAGACAGTTAAAAATACCAAAGACATGCATTACAATTCACTAATTCAAAATTAGGATTTGGTGTGAGTGATATTGTCAAAATGTTTATGCTTTTCTTTTTACTTAATGACCCAAGAACTGATTGTTGCTAATCAAAAACAGAAACAAGTATTTTCTAATCTGTAGTGTTTTCTGTAACACTGCTAAAAATGTGATGGGGCAATGTCATTAAGAATTGAAATGGATGAGGTCATACTTCCATTGGGTACATAGGAGGAGGCTCCTACAATGAATAACAATACTGCTTTGACTTTTATGACTCAGGGTGGTTAGACTATATATCATATAGATACATATACAATACCTAATAATCCATGTAAAGTTTCTATGTAAGCTACTCTGTGAAAAACAGCTGACTTAAATTGCTCGACACTTGGCTTCCCTCCTCACTCGTGGTGGAGAAGAGCATTGTCCTTTGCTCCCTTTGCTGGTTCTGTAGCCACCCATCAGTGCAGCGTTATTTCAGGGGGTATTTCATCTGCTTGCAAAAAACGTGAGCAGGTGAGAGAATCAGTCATTCAAAGTTTCCCATTCCCTCCCATTATGCTGGCCAAAGTATGACCGAGGGGGTGGGAACTATGTCTGAGTGGATATCCATATATGGGCGTCCTGTTTTTTTCTGTTAATATCATTACATATTTTTGTGACAAAGCTACATAAATTACTTGAAATAAGTTCAAATGCATTTGTCTTTTCTATTAGGAATGATATTTGGTGTGGAGATGGAATGAGATGGTAGGAAGACACCATTACAATTTCAGGACAATCTCTGGCCTTGGTGGGGTTTGCGCTCCCCGAGTACATGTTTGAGTTTAATTTCTATTATTGTGTTTTTCAAATTTAAGACAATTCAAGTTGTGCCTTTGAACAGATCCTGATAAACTGTGCTGTCCTAACTTTTGTCCGTTATATTCACACAGATTCAGTGGATCTACTTCACTGCCTACAGGTGATAAGTTTGTGTTGCTATTGCACAAAGACAAACACTGTTGACTTGTGATGCGGTTTGGCCATTTGTGACATTCCCATAAAGCATCACTTCTTCAGTCCTGTGCACTGGGGTCTCCGGGGGAGACAGACTTTCCACAGGTCACTGCTCATGTCAGGCAATACGACTGGGCCGGCTCTCTTTCTGCACCGTGTAACACTAAACTATGCTCAAACATGTAGCCCCCCCAGTCCCTTTGGACCCACCGCCTCTTCATAACTTCATTTAGGAGAGACCGCTGCAGCGCTCGACTGGACCAGGGTGTGCCGAGAACAATCCCCAAACTATTGGGAAGAAAGCGTTCCAAGAAATGTATGTCACAAAACTCAACAGAGAAAAAGTATTAGCTATGATACATTTAGAGGACTTCAGAACATTCAAAAGATATACAGGAGAAATCAGAAGTTTACATACTGAATGTAAAATGCTTCAACAGCATATTATTGAGATCCTTCTGAATTATTTATTACATCCTACTAAGTCAGAAGTTGAATTTCAGATACTAAGAAAAAAACTATTTTCAATTCCTAGTTACTATGACAGCAGTCAAAATTGCACAGAAACCAAAAACTATTTCATATTCTGTAAAACAAAATGAAATGTGTTTTGATTTGGAGATATTATTGGCTTTAGATGCTGCATCTGTCACATATAAGAAAAACATTGCTATATACCTGTAGTCCTCATAACAGACTAAAGTTCCTCTCCTATCTAGATTTGTGTCAAAATGTTTGTCATCAGTAAATCACAGACACAAAATCGAAAACATAAGAGAAAGCAAGAACCAGTGTTGATAAAGTGGGGATAGTCTGAGCAATGGTCTCTGTGTGTGTTGTTCCCAAACACACACAATCGCTCTAAAAACAAGTAAATAAGAAGTGAAAACAAGCATGATACAGTTCAAGCTCTTAAACACATTACACAATACAACCATAAAGACGTTGAGCCAAAACAGCGCCACAAAAACTATAGAGCAAACGTTTACATGCTGCTCCAAACTCTTTCCAGCTTGGCCTCTCCTCTCCCTCCCTCTGTGGGCTCATTCCAGCTCCCGGCCCCTCCCCCACCAGAGCAGCAGTCGTGGTGGGTGTTCTCAGGCTGTTATGACTTGAGACACGATAATGGCAGCTATAATGTAGCCAGCCGTTCCTGATGTGGCTGGGCTTGTGGGGGATTCTGTTGTGTTAGGGCAGGAGACGGCGTAAACTGGGCGTGGTCCTGTAACTTTTGGCCAATCACGGCTCAGATCCGACCCATCTCCTCCTCCCATTCTCCTCTGCTCGCCCGCTGAAGTTCTCGAGCCCCGTTGTTTTGCCTCGGTGGTAAATTTTGGGTTTTGTTTTTGTAACCCCCACCCAGAGCAGACTCTCTCACCTCCTCCCATGCTGCCCCTGTGTTTTTGCCCCCTTTTTACCCAGACGGGGTGAATTCCAGGCGGCTTCTGTAATGTGATGGCGGCTCGTGGTGTGACCGGTGCTGCGGCCACGTTGCTGGAGACATCGCTGTAGTGTACAATAAGCTACGCAAGATTACAGTCACATCCACTCAGCTTCTACATCAATTATTTCATTTGCCTTTGTGCAGTCTACAGACGATTGATGATAAGCTGAGCCCACTCACGACATCACTCACGTCTCTTTATGAGTCAAAAAGCACAGAAGCTAAACTGCTACATACATTTCCCTCTTAAATCGAATTGGACTTATTTGTTTAGGCAGACTTTCTCGCCTCACCGTACATTGGCCCATCTGAAGTGTGTTCATGATTATTCTGTATATTACTTCTTTGAAACTGACTTGTATGTGTACTAGTTTTACTGTATGTTTTTAATTGTGAAGCGCTTTGTGATCCTGGTCTGTGACAGGCACTGTATAAATAAACTTTACTTACTTATTTCTGGGGTACCAATCTTTCAAACTACAAACAACACCTATAGAAAAATCATAACTAGTTTCCATTGTCACTGTGAAACAACACAGAAAGAGGCTTGTATGAACGAAAGAATAGGCTATTGGTATGGCATGATATCCAGCATCTTCTTCGGAAGGGAAGAAGCTGGAACATGCCTTACCAGGGTGGACAGAAGAGTCATTGATATTTCTAAGAGCTTATTTAAAAGGAATAAAAAACAAATAAAAGAACTAATAAAAGAATCTCCAGAACAGGCAGCTCACAGCTCACTGTCCTTTTAGCAGTTGACCATTTTGTTTAGATTTCTCCTTTCTTTGGCTGTGATGTAGCAGAACCACAGTCATTGACCAGTTCTTAAAAAACCAACAAGTAGACTTTTTTGGTAAAGCAATAAAAGTTGAGCTGGATTTAGGAGTTATTTTAAGTATGTTTCCACAGAAAGAGTAGACCCTGACGAGCTTTCTTAACAATCATTTGTGATTTGGTCCCATCCTTTCAAATCAATAGCTTTTTTTACCAGCAATTTACAACAACAGCAGAATGTCACTTCTACCGCTACATGGAGGATATTCCCTGCCTTCTTCCCCCATCATAATCCATTTACAGATGTACATGAAAGTTTACACACCCAGGCAGAATATTAGATTTTATATTTGAATTTTATGTTTATATTTATGAATGACAACTCAAAAACACATGTTTGCCACTCATTGTCAGTGGTTGTGTGAGGCCAGTGGTAGTATGTATAACACTAATAAGTAAGTAAGTCATCTACAGTCTTTTACAATTGTTCTTTTTTAATATAGACAAAGTAGTCCCTCCCTTTAGCATAACGAAAAGTTAAAGGAGAACAGTTAAATCAATAACAAGGGGCTTCAAGGATTTGAGTTCATTTTGACCAATCAGGAGGCTGCGGTGGTGAGCGTGGGTGGGTCTAACCAGAGCTTATCTTCAAAAAGTTTCTCACTCTCTTCATATTTTCTAAAGTAACTAAAATTCACTTGAAGACAATATTTCCCATTCTAAAACATGAGACAGCAAGTAAAAAAAATTTTGCAGAAATGATGCAGAATATTGTTCTTTAAGTGACTCATGATCAGCGTTACATAAGTCGTTGTTCGCCGCTTCCCCTGACAGCGGTTGAGGATCCTGACAGTGTGGTTTGTACAGTCAACACACACACCTCAGAGGAGCCGGCCCTGGTTCTCACCTCATACACACAGCCTGCACTCTGCTCTTCTTCAGGCTTCTCACCTCCTCAAAGTGACGGAATAAAACCTTGATCCCTTGTTGCTACACTGGGAGAGAGACCGATGACAGACAACGGCTGCGGAGCTGTGAGACATGGGCCAACAAGCAGGAGAATCCACAACCAACTGCCAAGAATTAGTGATAAAATGTCTGAATGCGACTCTTTCCTGTAATTCCTAGGAGGAGACTGTAGAGTATAGGGCTGTCTTTGGTCAAACAGGATTCTTTCAGCCAGTGTAATATGGAGTAGTTGACCAATCTATTAAACACATAATATACAGATTTATAAGGGACAATGGAAAAAATCAGAAGATATGGTAAAAAATAGCAGAATATTTGGGATTTATTTTAGTTTTAAGGCAGATTTTTTATGTGCTAGAAACAAGTATTTTGAATTTGTTGACTACAACCCTTCTTCTTTCTCTTGTTGAATTCTTAAATTTGAAAAATCAAACATTATTGATGGATAAAACATCAGAAAGCCTACATAGGACTGAACAAGTACCACTGTGGTATATTATGATGTAGAGATGCCCTGATATTGTAAATACAGACATTGACCACAGACTTCAATAACAGATCTATTCTATTTCATTATTTGTGGAAAGGACAGCAGACAACTAACAGCACACAAAATATATATTTTTACTACTTTAGTTTTACTGAACAGGGACAATGTACAAAACCATTCAGTCTTAACAAAAGAAGAGTGGATTTGCCTCAGATCCCCAGTGAGCCAAGTGAATCGACTTGTTTGTAAAGTCCATCATGCCACAATCAATATGAATAATCAAGATACAGTAGTTGAGGTTTTTCTGTCCATGTCTGCCTCTATAGATCTATTCTTGGTTGGCGACCTTTTTCAGTAATAATCTCTTTTTACTGTCCCCTATTAGATTTTCTTAGGTATGTGCTCATTTGTCTGAGTGTGAAATGTCAACTGTAGACTGTGTGCAACACGGCCTGCATTTTTTTGTGCTGTGGACCCCCGTTCTACCATTGTTACCACTATTTATATCTTAAGCATCCGTCATTAACGTCATTAATATCTCAAGTGATGACGTCTTCTATTCTTATGCACATTGATACAAATAATATGAAAATATGAAATATGAATATGAAAAATTAACCGGGTTTCAGGTGCGATCGCTGCTGCCTTGTCTTCATTTCTCTGTGCTATTTCACTCTGCAATGTAAAAGTAGTATTCTGCATGTTTAAGTAATCCTATTCACTTAAACATGTCTCGCTAGTCTCCCCTGGGTCAGGACTCCCACCCTACATCAGGACACCCACCCTACATCAGGACATACCTGTGGTTTCCTGCCCTCCCTCTCCAGAGTCCTCTAGTGTCAGCCTGCACTCTCACTTTGTCCCCCTCTGCCTATAGCCGCCTGTAAGTATTAGCACCAGGTAAACGCTGCTCCACACCACAAAAATGTCTTTGAACTGCTGTACAAGAGAAGCGCAGGAAATAGAGAGAATAAAGAGGAGGAGTGGGGGGGAGAGAGAGGGAAGGGGGATGGCAAAAGCAGATGAAGAGCTGATTCACACAGCTGGTCTGCAGCTGTAGGCGACTGCACAAATGCTCCGTCAATAAACAGCCAGGAACCCAGCCCCCGCATTTTACGCACAAACAACACGGTCTGACAGGGCACAGGCGCTCCTCCTCACCTCAGCACCGGGGATGGCTCGTTACTTTAAGGCCAATGACACACTATAAAAATGAAGACCAAGACGTTTTGTTCAAGAGAGGGGGGTCAGTGGACATGGAAGCCAGACCAGACGATCAGTGTACAATTTGGGAAAGTCTCTCCACACCTCAGTCCATTTAAAGGTGATGTTCCATTCAATTCAATTCAATATATTTATGTATAGCCCTAAATCACAGCAGTATCTCGGAGGACTTTACAACCCGTAGATTTGCCAACAGAGGGAATCCAATGATAAATAAAAACCGTTAAATACATTTAAAACAGTTCCTACCCTACATACATTTTGGCTGACGTTTTGAGCCAAAATCACAAATAAATGTTGGTGTAATCAAATCAAACTTAACGGCTCGACAAGATACTGCATGTAATCATCTATAATGGTGGATCTGAAGTTGGCTGGATGATGATTTATCAAATATTTACCTCTTGGGGGTTAAAACGAATACAACCGTGTCTTTTTGTAGCACAGTGAAGCTAAACCCAGAGTGATGACAAAACTTGGTGTAGCAATGACCCACGACACAGAGAGAGAGAGAGAGAGAGAGAGAGAGAGAGAGAGAGAGAGAGAATCAATGTGCTGAAGACAAGTTTTCACAAGTGGCTTCAGCTGCTGGAGCCTGTTTAACTACAGTTTACATCTGGCACACAAAGGCCATCGCCGAAGAGTGCGCTTGCTCCTCTCAAGTTTGACTAATTTCATAATGATTATTCAGGATGCTCAGAAAGGAGAGCCGGGAAGTGTGATTAAAGGTTATGTCCGTATAGGTTCAAGAGAGCTTTACAAAATTGTTATGTGCTTGCTATATAATACTAAAAGTCTATGAGAAATAGTGTCTTACATTGCAAGAGATGATAAAATATGAGGAAATAGTTATACTTATCTTAATTTTAGTTCATTCTGACTGTCTTATAACAAGATTGGGACGAAGCCACTTATTCTAATTTCAAGAACTGTTGCTTTATTTTCTCATTCCAAGGAAGACATTTTTTGTATCTTTTCAAAACTAGATCATTTTGCCTGTCTCATTGGCTAATCTGGTTTTAAGGCTGTGAAAAATGGATCAAATTAAGATACATTTTGCAAAATTAGAGCACTTTTTAACTTATTTTTCATCCGTTTTTGCAGTGTACTTGTTTGCAACTTACACACAATTTGTAGTTTCTCTCTGACGTTTTTTTGATGTGACGTTATCTTCTGGTTTCTCCCTCGGTGTCTGTCTCCAGCTGTGTTATACAGACCTGGAGTATGAGCAGAGCTAGGACTGCTATAAATATCTCTGCCCACCCAAGACTGTTAGGATTATTATTTTTTTCTTATAATCACTGTGGTTGCTCTATAAAGCGAGATGATTATTATCTGGTTTTTGTTCTCTGAAATCAGTGGTTTTTCCAGCTGCTACAGTGACCCAAATCCAC